GATCTCAATTCAGTAATCAGTTCCTCAGCAAAGCCACCTTTTATTCCCTAGTCTATATTAGGTTTTTAAAAATACGCTCATGGAACCATATTCTCTTTCTTCACAAGACTTATTTCAGTTTGTAGTTACAGATCCAATAGTCTGATTACTGGTTGCAAGTCATTCCGAAAGCAGACAGTTTGTTTCTTTTCACTTGCATATCCCCATAACTTAGTGCAGTGCCTGGCACAAATTAGGTGCTCAGGGTACAGGTGTTGTGGTCAGTCTTTACTTGTACTCAACATACAAATATTCAATAGGTCCCATATTGGTTTAGGGAAGAGTCCAGTTTAACTCATTCTTAGTCCTGAGAAGAGAGTACAAGGATCCTAAGTATAATGTAGTTTTCATAAAGAAGCAATATATTTTTATAGCATTTTTTCTGTATTTTCCTAGAAAAATCACTTATCCAGAAATGAGTTATTATTGTCCTGATGTAGTTAACCCAGTAAGGCCAAAGTTTGACCACTTTAACCCAGAACCTGTTACGCAGGGACAGACTAGCTGTGGATGGAAAGGAGAGAATTCAAGACCAGGTATCATGAAGCTAAGGATGCCTCACTTTGATAATGTGCTAAACACAGCAATCTTAACCTCAGAGGTCCTGTGAGCATCTGGTAACTAGGGTAGAATGAGCAACACTCTGCAAAGAGCACCCCACTGTGGAACCAGAGGTGAAGTCTAGAACTGAGAACTTGACCCAGACAATGAACTCAGCAGAACTCACCATTCCCACATTCAACTTTTCTTTTCTTCTGTCCTTTCAATAATAATTAGGATTGTGTTGGTCCCTGTTTATGGATCATTTCTGAGCAAGGTGCTGCCCTAGGTATATCTGTATGTGTGTGTTCATATACACACAATCAATCAATCAATATTAAAAACACTCACAAAGTCTCACAATCCTGTTTGATAGACCTCCTCTCCACACGTCATGTAGTAGAGGGTTGAATAAGTGAAGCCACAGCCAGCAAGTAGTAGAGCTGGGTGAGAACTTTAGGCTTGTTGGACTTGAAGCCTGTGTTCTCAACCATAATTCTAATGTCACACCAAATGCTAGTCATTGGAAGTTAAGACTTAAAAACAAAAAAAACAAAACAAAACACAACATATCACAAGATCACTTGTCTTACTTTTCACTTAATGATTTTCTTTACATAAACATCCTTTCTAATTATTTAAAGGATTTTTTTCAGTGCCTAGGAAATCATAGGCTTGATATTTGTATTTTATACTATTCATTATCATAAATTCATAATTACGAAGACAAAAATAGTCCACCTAGTGCTTAGATGACTGTGCCTACCACCTCCGTGGTACTCATGCCAGGCTGTGGGAACCCGTATCACTCCCTCCTGAACCATTGGGCATTGGAGAAATGGTGCTAAACGACACAGGGTTTAATAAGACCCGCCTGGTGGTTGATGTCTTCCCCAGGCTGTTTTGAAAGGTGGCCGCTTCCTACCCCAGAGGTGGCTGCACTTCAGTGATGATGAGCAAAATGGCCCTGGTTTGTACATTCTGCTCAGTGCTTAGGGTGGTCTAGTTGAAAACAACTACACAGATATCAGTGATCATCATTCTCATGATGACAATGATTATTTTACATATGGCTGCTTTAAGGGTGAATGACACAGTCTCATTTGTATGCTAGCATCTGGCAGGCTGCCTGACATCTGCAGAATATAACCTAAATTGTGCTATGAATATTTCCCCTTTGCATTCTCCCCAAGGCGTCTGTCTCCCAAAATGCCTCAAGAAACTTCCTTCCCCTTCAAGGCCTAGAGGCAAACTTCAGAAAAACATGTCATCTAGACTGAGGACAGCAGCAGCCCTGAGTGACAGCAGCTGAGCCTGAGCAGATTTCTGGCTCCTGGAATAGATGTAAAGGGAGAAAGGGAACCACCACCCACACTCATTTTATTAGCAGCTGCACTTCCAGGCAAAATCTGTAGGCAGGTTCTCACAGGCTCAGACAGTTTGTGGAGTGGCTCCGTAAGCAGCAAACGCTGCCAGTCATGATCCTGATGGTCAGTTCTCAGTGTCTCCAATATCACCTCTACCTGCTTAAAACCACCCTCCCTGAAAAGCCTTGTGGAGCTACTGAACACTCTACTGTGGTGCAGACTAGATAACCGCGTGCCAAAACCAGGTCTTTCTTTCTTACACACGTGTACCAGTAGCCAAACTACATTTCCCAGCCTGCCTTGCAGTTAAGAGGTAGCCATATGACTCATTTCTACTAATGGAATGCACACTATTTTAGGTTGGCTCATAGGAGTCTCCCTAATGTAGTCCACTACAGTCTTCTCCCTTTGCTGCCTTGATGCAGATAAACATGATGACAAGATGGGAAGAAACCTGAATCTCTGAATCGGAAGAGTCAGTTTGGTGATGGGGATAATCAATATTGGACTTTATAAGAGAAATAATCTTTTATGTGTTTGAGCCATTTTGAGGGTCTATTTTATATCAGACCATTCAAAGCTTTACTCTAATATCTTCTTAAAATAAAATTTCCATGTTATATTTAATAAGCAACTATTTACTAAATATCTCCACTTAGAAGACCTATTAATACTTCAAACTTGACATGTTCAACCCAAATGGAATTTCCATATGTCAGAATGTTCTATTAATAGGTACTGGGATACAGAAATGGGTCATATAAAGTCCCTTTCCTTATAGAATTTACATTCAAATGTGGGGAAATCCCAAATACACAAATAAACAATTTCAAATAGTGATAAGTGCTATTGCGATAGCAGGGATAGAGGGGGGTTTGGGGACTACATGGGAACTGATGGAAATGTCTCTGCAGAGGTGGCATGAGATTGAAGCCTGAATGATGACACATAGTTAGCCATGTGAACTCTGGGAGAAGAATATTCTAGAAAGAGGGACAGCAAATGCAAAGCATGAAAGTAAAAACAAGGTGTATCCAGGAAGAGAGAAAAGGTTAATTGACTGAAGCAGAGTGAATTAGCAAAGAGTGGTATAAGAGGATACCACAGAGGGGGGCAGAGTCCGGATTGTGTGGCATCTTACTGTCCAAGGTAAAGAACATGGATATTATTCTGTGTCAGTGGGAAGCTATTAGAGTGTTTTAAGCAGGGGAGAAAGGATATCCAGATTACATGTTGAAAGGTCTCCCCTGATATGGGAACAAGTATTTGTAAGACAGCAAGAAAGAATGAGACCATATAGATGAGTGCAGTCACACAGGTGAGAAAACAATGGACTTTACTAGTGTGGCTGGTAGGAGTAGAGATAGGGAGAAAAGTGTTGATTTGAGATAAAATTTATAGGAAGAGAAGGTAGGGCTCAAGGGTAGATTGGGTTGGAGGTGGGAAGGCTAGTGAGTGAGAAAAATAATATTGACTCCTGCCAAAACCAGTCTTGCTCAGTGGACAGAGTGTAGGTCTGCAGACTAAAAGGTCCCAGGTTTGATTCTGGTCAAGGAAGGGCATGTACCTTGGTTGCGGGCACATCCCTGGTAGGGGGCGTGCAGGAGGCAGCTGATCGATGTTTCTCTCTCACCGATGTTTCTAGCTCTCTATCCCTCCTCCTTCCTCTCTGTAAAAAAAAAAAAAAAAAAAAAAAGAAAAAGAAAAAGAATATTGACTCCTACATCAGTTGCTCAGCTGTTTGGGTGGAGAAACCATTAACTGAGATTGGGATTTCCAGTGAAGAGTTAGGTTTGTGGGGGGATGGCTCACATGACATGTATTGAATAAATGTCTGACTTGTATGATTAAACAGAGGGTCAACATAGTATAATAAAAATACTGGCTCAGACACTCAGCAACTTCTTTGACTTTTCTAAATTTTAACTAAACATGAGCTAATAACACTGACATTATGGGGTAGTCATATCAAATATGCCCTTGGTGGATGGAGATGGAAAAGAAGAGGGATGGGGACTTGAGGGTTGCAAATAAAGTTTGGTTTTTGATCCAGATGCTGGTTACACAGGTATGTTCTGTCTGTGAAAATCCATCACGCTCTAATATTGTATGTGCACATCTACAAATGAGATTCTATGCAAAAAGTTCCCAGTGCAGTTGAAACAGGTTTGGCTCAGTGGATAGAGCGTCGGCCTGCGGACTGAAGGGTCCCAGGTTCAATTCCTGTCAGGGGCATGTACCTGGGTTGCGGGCACATCCCCAGTAGGGGGCGTGCAAGAGGCAGCTGATCGATGACTCTCTCTCATCGATGTTTCTAACTCTGTATCTCTCTCCATTCCTCTCTGTGAAAAATCAAAAAAAAGTTCCCAGTGCAGTGCTTAGAACTCAATAAATGGCAGCTGCTATTATTTTCATTATTATGATATAATAAAAATCATGATGCAGCCGAAACCAGTTTGGCTCAGTGGTCTGCAGACTGAAAGGTCCCAGGTTCAATTCCAATCAAGAGCATGTACGTTGGTTGCGGGCACATCCCCAGTGGGGGGTGTGCAGGAGGCGGCTGGTCGATGTTTCTCTCTCATCGACGTTTCTAGCTCTCTATCTCTCTCCCTTCCTCTCTGTAAAAAATCAATAAAATATATTAAAAAAAAAAATCATGATCCATACCTGCGGTCCATGCTGTCCAGACAGGGCACTGAAGAACACTTCAATTAAGAGGAAGAAACCCTTACCTGAAGTCTAGGGACCTATCTTATAGTTGATCAAGTCACATCTAGTTTTAATTCAAGACACACATATGCATCTGTCTGAAGGAATTGATTCAGAGTTCCAATCCAGAGCTCGTCCTGGCCCACAGCTTGTAACTCAATGCTTCCCCAACATTGTTAGAAAGAAAGAGCATCACAGATGCCAAGGTAATTTAAAAGACAGTTTTCCACAAGTGCTAGGTGACTAGTTATGACAACTCCTTTCGTTCCACTTTTGCCCAAGCCTGCTCTTACCTGAATCCTCCTAATTCAAGCCAGTGGGTTATTGGCCCCAAGGAAAGGATACTAAAACTTTGATTGGTTATTTCAAAGTTCCATAGGTTAATCCTCAGGTCATCAGCTGACATGTAGGTTTCATAGTCGCTGTTGACTGATATGGAGTTGATGTGATATGTGTGTGCATTGGCAAATACTCTTCGCGGGGTGGCCTCCACCATCAGGTCCATGGGTCTGAGGACAGGCACCTGGGATACAAGAGAAATACATCCTTTTAGGACCAATGCTTTGCATGAGGAAAAGAGCAAGCATGTTTATGTCCTTTGTGTTCACACATAAAACCATAAGCACATCAGGAAGAGTCCCAAGAGAAGGGGGCCTAAATCATGTGGTTTCTATTCCCTTCTGTTTCCTTTTAGTTTTATTCTTTTCTAAAAAAAAAAAAAAAAAGTCACCATCACTTAGGCCAGAGAGGTTAAGTAATTTATGTGAAGTCACACAAGCTAGTGCTCATGCTGGCCCTCCTTGACTCTGGAGCCTAAGATCTTATTTACTCCATATTCTAGGCCCTGGAAGAATGCACTTGGGACACGGGAGACTAAATAGACATGTTGAGCCGGTGATTTGTGGTGTGATGGAGGTCAGTAGGCACTGTCCAGGCAATGTTGGTCAGACAGGTCCTGTGTCAACCTGGGGAGGTCAAGGGAGCTGTCAAAAAGGAGAGACTATCAAACAAGGCGGGGCCTGAAGGGTTTGTGGGAATCTACCAGGCAGAAGTGGGATGGCAAGGAGAGAGCTGTGCAAAAAAGAGAGGGTTCAGCATGTGCAAAATCTCTGAGGGGAGAGTGCAAAGTACATATGGGTAAATGTGCGACTCCTTGTGTCTGGGCCTGGGAGTTAGTGATTAATTATTCGCTCAATGAATATTCACCAAATCACTGCTTTGTATCAGACATGAAGGAAATCGGAGTTGGGTAAAGGGGTGGAGAATAGATGGTGTGCTAGTTGAGGTGGGGTGGTCATGGCAGACCTCTCAGGGATAGTATTTGAGTATAGGCCTGAATGAAGTGAGGGAGCCATGTTGCTCTCTAGGAAAGAGCATTCCAGGCAGAGGAAACAGCAAGTGCAAAGGCCCTGAGGTAGGAGCATGCTTAGAGTTTAGGCAAAACAGTGAGAGAAGTGAGAAAGGAAGGATCCTGGTAGGAGGAGATGTGGGAATCATAGTCAGGGCTGGGTCACAGGTGTTATTGGGAATATAAGGAAGGCTCACGAAGTCGCTGGTAGCTGTCCATTACTGACTCCTCTTCCTGTTAAGGCATTCCCTCCTTGTCCTCTCTCTCTTACCTCTCCACTCCTTCTGTCTCTCCCCACCCCTTTCATTCTCCTCTTTCAGCTTCTTTCTCATTATGTTTGCTACCTCCCCTCCTGGGAAATCCAAGATCATCTTTCACTTCCCAGATCCTATTTACTAACAAAATGAATGTTGCTGTCACATGGCTTATTGGGTGACCACGCTGGCGATTCTTCACAATCTTCCACAGCAGCTACCTGGGTGTCGGCCGTGGGTCAGAGAAACCCCCTTCAGAGACACAGTGAAAGCTGAGCTGCATCCTGGATGCCCCCGAGGCCCCCACTTTAGACCATGTCTGTGAAAACGCACAGCGGGGAGAGGCTAGAGGTGAGGATTCCAGCGCCTTCCCGCACTGACTCTTCATAGAGGAAAAACAACAGCTGTGTTTACCATGGCAACCTCCAGTGCCCCAGTTAAGTCCACAGATTCCAGGCAAGACTCTGGGAGAGGGAAGATGGCCAGAAAGGAGTAAAGAACAGAAGGAACACGGAGTTGGAGAAGGAAAAGAGAGAGATGGCCCTCTGTGGAAGCACACGATGGGTTTTTAGTAACCTTGGGCAAACACTTGAAAACAGGGGTTAAGTACAACCAACATAATCAACATGGTGGGGACTTTTTAAAAATGCTCTCAATTTTAATCTGTGCTTGCTCTGTATCTCCTTGTCAGAATTTAACAGATGTTCTCCACCACCCTCCCTAAATAACTGATATTACTTTATATTGAGACTAATAAGGTTCTACTAAGGTCATGAGGTTAGATGGGTTTCATGGCATCAATTAGGAAATACAGGAATGCAAGACCTCACAGTGACCCTCAGATAAAACCTTCAGTAAACATTTGTTGAGCATCTACTACATGCAGGGCAGTCACCATCCAGAGTGTCTTGAAGAAAGATTGAAAATGCACAGCCCACACCTCTTGTTCTTGTTCATGACCAGCCCCTTTGGAAAGCGGCAATGTGGCTGTTTGACGTAGAAAAGCAACATGAGAGCTGTCCCCCACCTCCTGGGAGCAAGGAAACCCCGATGCGGTGCTCTGGGTCCACAGGCTTGAGGCCTGGATGAGAACATGGGCAGCTTATACCACCCCACCAACGGCCCTAAACGAAGAACAGGTAGAGAGGCTAGAAAGTTCCAGAGTCCAGCCTCACTTCACGTTTGCCATCTTGCCCTTCCTGGGCTTCCTTCAATGAACATCCTTCATGACTCTCCAATGACAATTACTGTGGTTTGGGATCAAGCCAATAGCTAAATAGCACCAGACTTCATTGTCAAGGAAGAGGGAGTGAGTCACCTTGAAAATGCGGCCAACATCGGGTCTGGCTTGTTAATATCCCTGTTCCAAAGCAACTCGGCGCAGTGGTAGGTACATAGGAGCCCTTTCAAACAGGCATCTGTGATGACGTCCTAAGAACCATCTGAAACAGTTTTAAAGGAAACTTCCCCCATTTCTAACTTCCATACATGTTCCTTCCTAAAAACAAATCATCTGAGATACCCACAGCCTAGGTTCTCCTCCCCGTTGCAAAAGAAATAAGACCGACCCTCACCCATCCTGAACTTCACTAGGGTGCACTGTCCAAGATATACTTTTGGGAGGGATAACTGGCCGGTACCATCAATCAAGGCCCCATAAATGTCCCTACCCCTAGCTCATTATAATATGAAATTCTAATAGTTTTACTTATGTTTAATCATTACTTATCAGAATTATATATCAATATTATTTCAGTGAATTGTGCTCTATTAATTTAAAGACAATTATACCCACAAGAAAATTTTAAGCTCTTATAGTCATATGTACATGGGAGGAAATTCTATTTGTTGTTAAAAATGATCAAAAAAGTTTTAAAATTTCTTTGAGGGGAAAGTACAGTGGAAATGCATGTTTAAAGAAGAAAAAGGAGGACTATAAAGTTCTTTTAAATAATTTGTTCACATATTTTTTTATGGATATTGGTGGGTATCCAGTTATGCTGGTACTTAAATATCTTTGCATGCATTCAAAGGGGATATAACACTTTTATTCCCAACAGTCTATGCTCAATATACTCCCAAAACCACATTCTCTGTAACTACTTAACATCACAATGGAAATGCTTATTTGTCTATATAAAAAATGCTCAGGAAAGTACATGGCTTTTCAAACTTCTAGGGGGTACACAGGTACCACATGCAAAGTTGTTGTGGTGTAAGAGAATTTTTGAAGCCAACAGAGCAGGGCTTGCATCCTGGCTGGAGCATTTATTGGCCATATGGCCTCGGGGTATGCCTTCCCCTTTCTCCATGTCAGTGTTCCCTTCTGCTATGTTAGAGAGAGCAACTTTCTCGGTAGCTTTGCTGAGAAAATTGAGCACAGGGCCTGACACACACCACCTAACAAAGAAACATTTATGGAGAACTTTGTGCCAGAATGATGCTAGCACTTTACCATGTTACTGAATCTTCACAATGACATCAAGAGGAAGGTACAGATACTGTTCCTACTTTACAGATGTGAATCCTGAAGCAACAAAGGTCATGAAACTTGTTCAAGGTCATACAGCCCCTAAGCTGTGGAACTGCCCTGGAACTTGGCCATCTGGCTCCAGCCCCTATGATAACTGTTACTAGAACTTTTTACCATTAACTTCCAATTATGGAGAAATGGTCCCTTTTGAGAGATTGCCTAGGGAAGATTTTTTTCCGATTTTTTCTATTGGCTATGGCATCCCTTCCATCCAACCAAGGAATTCTGTCATGATTATAGAACTTAGCAGTAAGTTCTATGACAGAATCTCTAACATAGCATCCCAACATTGTATGTATCCCTCAGGAAAAGGGCTAGAATGATTGGTCATTGGGTAGCAATTAGCTACATTGAGAAAAAACACCCCCCCCCCCCCCACACACACACACAAAGCAAGCTGCTGGCTTTTCTGGTTAGGAAAATAGCTCCTGTCCACACTGTCATGAAAACCTTGAACAATTTGGTCGTTCATCCAATTATCAAACCAACCTGGGGGGCAGAGTCTGGCGTTACGTGTACCCATTATTAAAGGGTAATTCAGTGTAACAAACCAAATCGAGTATGTACAAAGGCTGTCAAATAAAATAAACCACTAACAAATTCAATTACGTCCCATCTTCAGTGGGAAGAATGCCAGTCATTTTTCATTTTTAAAAATATGCGTCTTCATTCCATTTTTTTTTTAAACAAGCATTTCAAGGCCTCGTGCTGGCCGTACTGAGGTTGAGTTTCCAGAGGCATACCACTCAGGTCCTGGGGTGTTTCCTCTTGGGGGATTAATGAAGCATCAGGGAATTAACAAGCATCAAAAAAACATGTTCCTTCCACGGATCAATGGTGGATGGAGTTCAAAAAAGCAGGAGTGATAGGTTGGCTCCAACCTCCTGCAACACATCGGAGCCGTTGTGTGCGGAGGGAAGCTGCCACTCAGCAGCACCACGCCAACACACCCGGGAAGCCAGTCCAAATCACAGACCTTTCACACTTCCCCAATCACACCCTTCCCCAGCCTCAATATGCCCCTGGTTCCTTCTGCCGCTGCCTTTGTCACAGAGACCAGAATAAGCCCAAGAGGAAAAGCCCCTTCAGACCAAGAGAGGCTTTGTGCTTCAGGCTCTTAAATACCTCACGATGATATTCTTTCATTCGACAAACATTTATGAAGGGCCAATTGCTGCACTAGAGGGCACATTGCAGAGGGAGCCAAACAGATGAGCGGTGGCTCTTACAGTCTCACGGGGAGGAAAGGCATGCATGTCTCAAGGTGGATATATTGCTAGAGACGTTCAGTGATGCTATAAAGAGAAGCAGGTATGTTGCTTTAGTAAAGGAAAAGGTATTGTTTCGTTTGAAAAGGGAGGGGCTCTAATTGACGTTGGGTACAATGT